AATCCTTGATAGGTAATGCTGTGAGTTCTTCCACCAGGAGGAACATACATCTGGCTTTGTTTCTTATGACTGTGTGGCCCTAGATGGCCATTGCCTGGATCCATTAATTCATTAGGGGTTTGTAAAATGATGAGAGTCAATCATCCCTTCTTCAATATAAGAGTTCTTTTAAAAACCCTTAGTGTACAGAGAACACTTTCAAATAATTCTCCCTCCCTTCTTCCTAAAACCTCCCAGTTTTGACTCTCATGTCATGAGAGTCTTGATTTATGGAAATCATCTACCAACCCTCATTTCTCTAGAATTCTAACTCCTGGCTTACTATTACTCTCTCCAATTCCACCCCTTCCTTGACCATTGGTGATTTTGTTTTTACTTAAATGATCCTTCCAAAGACCTGGCCTCTCACTTCCTTGACCCCTTCTCCTCCAGTGATCTCCTCAGCCACTTGCTCCCACAGAGAAAACCATGACATCATCACCTAAACTGGAACAAGTACAATATCACATTCATACATCCCACGCTCTGACAACCTCCTCCTATTGTTTCAGCTCATTCCCTCTAGTATCCCAACTATAATAATGACCATACCCTAAAAAACAGACACTAAAATGTCTTGGAGACTTCGCAACCATGGATACAGACCCCTAGGCATACCAAAGACAACTTATCATGGACACATCCTCCCAAACTGCTCTGACTTCCAATCCCGATACAGATTCTAAAAATCTCAGAAACCTCCAACCATGGACAGAGCCTCCCAAATTCAGGTACCTCACAGACTGGACACAAATCTCCCAAAAGATCAGAGACCTCAAGCCCTGAGACACACACTCCCAGTAGAATAGAACAGAGGCCTCATAACCTGGAATGCACCTGCAAACTGCTGAGATACCGCACATGTTGGACACATACCCCCAAGAGTTCTGAGACCTCAAACCCTGACACAACCCTGCCAAAATGTCAGGGATCTCAAAATCTAGAAAGAGACTCCCCAATCACCTCAGATACTTCACACACCGGGCACAAATCCTCAGAGAGCTCAGAGGCATCACACACCAGGTCCCAAACACCTCAGAAACTACACGCCCTAAAACACTTACCCACAAGAACTTCACAGACCACATATGGTGAGTAGAGACACAAAATCCCAAACAGATTTGAGACCTCACACCTTGGGACACAGAAATCCTGAAAGAATACAAATATCAGACCCTGGGATGCAAAACTTAATTCAGTTCGATGAGCTCATTATATGACTCGGCCCTACAAAATTATCAGAGAGAACTTATACCCAGAGATACAGTCCTAGATAGAGGTCAAAGACCACACATCCTGGATACAGACTCTTAGACAGAGGAGAGATATCACCCTATGATAGAATCCCCCAAACAACCTCAGATACCATGCATACAGAGATACGGACCCATAAAATGCTTGGGTATCACACATCTTAGACAACAGCTGAGTGACTCACATTCTAGACACACATACAAAATCAGCTCAGAGGTCTGAAACATACCTCCAAACAATAAACAGGATTAAAAACCTTAAAATGCAAGAGCCTCCACACTCAGGGACATAGACTCTCAGAATATCAAACCTGACCATCAGGGAAAGAGTCCCACAAAGGTTGACAATCCCCACATCCTGGATAGCAGAACGCCAAGAAACTCAGAGGCTGCATACCCAGGTATAAAATAAACAAATTGGCTTGGAGAATTCACAATTTAAAAAACAGGGCACCCGACAGCTTTGAGGCCTCACACCTTAGACACAGATCCCCCAAGAGCTCAGAGACCTCACAACATGGGACACAGGCCACAAAAGAACTCAGATTTCACTCCATGGAACAAAGACCCAAGTAACTCAGATACCACACACCATGATATAGAGACTCTCAAAGAGATTAAAGATATCGTAACCTGTACAAAGTCCCTCAGACAGCTCAGAGACCTCCTACCCTGGGACACAGAAACCCCAAACAGCTAATATCACCATATGATAAAATGCTCACATCAGCCTTTGAGGTTTCACAACTTGGAATACGGACTCCCAGAATTATTTGTACATTTAACATCTTGCAGAGAGACACTGCAAAGAGCTCATTAACCTCGCATTTTGGACATAGTTGCTAAATCACCTCACAGAACTGGTACATGGTAAACACACCTTGGAACAGCACTGTGGCCTCAAATTCAAAAGTTCAGAGATGTCCACACTCAGGGACAACAACCTATAAAAATGTCAAATACCTCACAATGATAGAAAGAGTTCATACCATGATAAAAAATAAACCAGCTCAGAGAACTCACACTCTAGGAAGTGTGAGATGTCACATGTTGGAAAGTAGAACTCCAAAGGGTTTAGAAACTTCACAGCCTGGGAAATAGATTAGAGACCTAGAATATAGCCTAGAGACCTCAAACCTTGAAACTCAGACTCCCAAGCATCCCAAGGAATTCATAGCCTGGGGCAGAGAAACATGAACATCTCAGTGCCCTCACGTCCTGTGGCACAGGCTCCCAAACACCTCAGGACCTCATACTATGGGTCATCAACCCCCAAATGCCTCAGAGAGCTCACACCTTGGAAACATAAACCCAAAGTACTCAAGGTCCTCACATTACTGGGGTGAAAGTTGTCAGAATCAAAATGGAATCACTCAGGGTAGAAAAAAAAATCCTGATAGATAGAGCTGGGGAAGACCATATAGAGAGAGTTCTCATGCTTGTATGCTTGATAACAAAAACTATCACAAAAGACTACAAAAACCACAACCTTGCACAAACATCATTACAACCTTACACAAAAAATATTTCCAGAACATCTGCCAGCAACTGCCTGTCAAACCTTTGGCATCATCTTTGTCATTGATCCTTGTAGCCAAGGATAATCATTTCAAAACAATTATGTAATCCTCCTCATTTTTCCTTTAGAAACCTTTGTCTTCCTTTACTTTCCTGAATACGAACATAGTTAATTTACCATGGCACGTGTATTTCCATTGCAGTGCCCTATTCCTGAATAAATATCATTTTCTTTTACAAAGCCTTTCTGTTTGTTACTTAGGTTGACAGTGGAAAGCAGAACCCAAATCCCCACATCCTAGGACACAGATCCCCCAAAGAACTGAGAGATATCACACCTGGGACATAGTCCCTCAAACAGCCCAGAAGGCTTACACTTCCCCCTGCAGATTAAGCCTTTTGTTCTGGAAGGGTGACAGGTAGTCTAGGCAGCGTATGGCTGCTGTTTCCCTCCGCCAGCCTGCACCATGGGGACAGGGAGGAAGCTTTCTCCAGATTCTCCCTATCCTTTCTGCGAGAGCCTGGTGGAGTTCCTAGAGTAAAAACCTGCAAAACGGTGGGAACTCCCCTATGCCAGTGTCCCTGAAAGCTTCACACTGTCTCCTTAGCATGCACTTGGCCTCCAGCAATTCGTCAAAATTTCTAGTTTAAACTTCCTATCAGCTCATGTAGCATCCAGTGGCTTCAGCCGCAGGTAAGCAAATGCTCTGGTCCTGTATCTCTCCAGATTTCAGGATGCTCCTCTGTCCTGTGATCTCAGTTCTCTGATGCGGTTTCTCACACTTGTTAATTTCCTCCCCGCACAGCTTTTGCTCGTTGTAAGATGAGAGTCTCTCTTTTTTTTTTTTTTTTTTTTGGCCTGGAGAGGTCCACAAGCTAAAGATGGGAGTTTCTTTTCTTCAGTTCTTTACATGTCCATGTTAAAACCAGAAGTCTTTTTATTTTTGACCTTAAAAACGTTCCTTCAGCTGGGCACGGTGGCTCATGCCTGTAATCCTAGCACTCTGGGAGGCTGAGGCGGGAGGATTGCTCGAGGTCAGGAGTTCGAGACCAGCCTGAGCAGGAGTGAGACCCCCGTCTCTACTAAAAATAGAAAGAAATTAGCTAGACAACTAAAAATATATAGAAAAAATTAGCCGGGCACGGTGGTGCGTGCCCGTAGTCCCAGCTACTGGGAGGCTGAGGCAGGAGGATCTCTTGAGCCCAGGAGTCTGAGGTTGCTGTGAGCTAGGGTGATGCCACGGCACTCTAGCTCAGGCAACAGAGCGAGATTCTGTCTCAAAAAAAAAAAAAACTTTCCTTCTTTTCATCTATGTCTCTTAAGCCATTATCTGTTGCATTTATTGGTTCTTATGTTCCTTCTAATTCAGTCTATGTTTCTGAAATGACTTTTTGTTTTGTTTCTAACTCTTTGTCAAATTCTATTACCTCATTTTCTGAATTGTTCTCATTCTGATTTATGGTGTTCTTTTGTATCTTGTATCATTTCTTAGTCTCTTTGAGCTCATTTGGCAGTATTAAGATAAAGAGTTCTCATTTGTTTTGTAGGCACATCTTTCTGGAATTCTCTCATTGTCTGTAGGGAGGTCATTCTGCTTCTTATCTTCTTTTTTCTTACAATAACTTCTAATGGGATTTGATCTCCATCCTTTTACATAAAAATAATTTTCTGGAATGTTTAGAAGGGAAGCAAGGCTCAGGATAGCTCTTCTAACTTTGTGGTTCTATAGCTCCCTCTTCTGTTTCTGTGACGAACTCAAAATGATAGGAGCTTGCTTTCAGAGACAGCCCGGTTCAGTGGTCTCGGACCTTCTTCTTCCTTTATCTCTACGTTCTTCCTACTCACGTTGGATTCTATTCCTACTTTTTCCAGTGTACCTGTTTGACAGTTCATTGGACCTAGACTGTTCCAGCCCTTTCAGTATTACTCTTTGCTTTTGTGTATGATTGAAAAGTTCCATTAATAAGTTTCCAAAATCTATATCTGACAAAGAGAAAGAGAGAGAGAGAATGGAAACACTAGAAGATGCTGTAATAAATGACTAATAATGGTTAATGGCAGAGAGGACACTGGGTAGATGGGCGGTGATGGCAGGAAGCTTTCCACTGCACCTCTTTTCCCATTTATTTCTGAAGCACACGCATATCACTTATTCAAAAATTAAATATATTCAAAAATTGCCCCTCCCGTGCATGATGGAAACACCATGGCTGCGGCAGCCCAGTTCTCCCTGACACAGTTATCAAGTGGGAATCCTGTATATGAAAAATACTATAGACAGGTTGATACAGGCAATACTGGAAGGGTGTTGGCTTCTGAAGCTGCCGCTTTCCTGAAAAAATCAGGGCTCCCAGACTTGATACTTGGAAAGATTTGGGATTTAGCCGACACAGATGGCAAAGGTATCCTGAACAAACAAGAATTCTTTGTTGCTTTGCGTCTTGTGGCATGTGCCCAGAATGGATTGGAGGTTTCACTGAGTAGCTTGAACCTGGCTGTTCCTCCACCAAGATTTCATGATACCAGTAGTCCTTTGCTAATCAGTGGAACCTCTGCAGCTGAACTCCCCTGGGCAGTAAAATCTGAAGACAAGGCCAAATATGATGCAATTTTTGATAGTTTAAGCCCAGTGAATGGATTTCTGTCCGGTGATAAAGTGAAACCAGTGTTACTCAACTCTAAGTTACCTCTGGATATCCTTGGAAGAGTTTGGGAATTGAGTGACATTGACCATGATGGAATGCTTGACAGAGATGAGTTTGCAGTTGCCATGTTTTTGATATATCGTGCACTGGAGAAAGAACCTGTGCCAATGTCCTTGCCTCCAGCCTTGGTGCCACCTTCCAAGAGAAAAACGTAGGTTGTATCCCCTGCAGAAAAAGCTAAATATGATGAAATCTTCCTGAAAACTGATAAAGATATGGATGGATTTGTATCTGGATTGGAGGTTCGTGAAATCTTCCTGAAAACAGGTTTACCTTCTGCCTTACTAGCCCATATTTGGGCATTATGTGACACAAAGGACTGTGGGAAGCTTTCAAAAGATCAGTTTGCATTGGCTTTTCACTTAATCAATCAAAAGTTAATAAAGGGCATTGATCCTCCTCACATTCTTACTCCTGAGATGATTCCACCATCAGACAGGGCCAGTTTACAAAAGAGCTTCATAGGATCAAGTCCTGTTGCAGATTTCTCTGCTATTAAGGAACTAGATACCCTTAACAATGAAATAGTTGACTTACAGAGGGAAAAGAATAACGTGGAACAGGACCTTAAGGAGAGAGAAGATACTATTAAACAGAGGACAAGCGAGGTTCAGGATCTTCAAGATGAAGTTCAAAGGGAAAATACTAATCTGCAAAAACTACAGGCCCAGAAACAACAAGTACAGGAACTCCTTGATGAACTGGATGAGCAGAAAGCCCAACTGGAGGAACAACTCAAGGAAGTCAGAAAGAAATGTGCTGAGGAGGCCCAGCAGGTAACATCTGCTGTTTACTGCTGCCTGCATCTATACCTTAGTTGCTTTTCTTGGCTTAAAATGAAAACATTCTCTACTTTTTTTGTTGTTGTTGTTAAGTGACAAACTAGTCAGCACTTGGGCACATGAGGGAGATAGAACAAGCTTCATCTGGAGATTACAGGCCCTCTTTAGTGGAAATAGAAGGGCACTTCATGTACTGTTCTTCCGAATTTTGATTGGAAATATGGTATCTATGCTGTCAACTCTCCTGTATCCCTCCCCTAATTACCCTTCTCTACCAAAAACATACATCTAAAAACACCAAAATATAAACTAAACAAATAAATGTATTGCATATGGAACATTTTCATGACTTCCTTTTTTTTTTTTTTCAGCTCTTACTGTCATTCCCAATGACCTCTTCTTATAATCCCCCTTTCTCCTCATTCACCTCCATGTTACAGATCTCTTCTCTGAAAGCTGAATTAACCAGTCAAGAATCGCAGATCTCCACTTACGAAGAAGAACTGGCCAAAGCCAGGGAAGAGCTGAGCCGCCTACAGCAAGAAACAGCAGAATTGGAGGAGAGTGCGGAGTCAGGGAAGGCTCAGCTGGAACCTCTTCAGCAGCACTTACAAGATTCACAACAGGAAATCAGTTCAATGCAAATGAAACTGATGGAAATGAAAGATCTGGAAAATCATAACAATCAATTAAATTGGTGCAGTAGCCCACACAGCATTCTTGTAAATGGCGCAAAAGATTATTGCAGCCTCAGCACCAGCAGCAGTGAAACAGCCAACCTTAATGAACACGGTGAAGGCCAGAACAACCTAGAGTCTGAGCCCATACACCAGGAGTCTCCAGCAAGAAGTAGTCCTGAAATACCACCTTCAGGTGTGACCGATGAAAATGAAGTGCTGACTATAGCTGTTAATGAAGAAGTTTGTCCTGAATTTGACAGTGACAGACATTCAAAAGAGGAAGATCCATTTAATGTAGACTCAAGTTCACTAACAGATCCAGTTGCAGATACAAAGTTGGATTTTTTCCAGTCCGATCCTTTTGTTGGCAGCGATCCTTTCAAGGATGATCCTTTTGGGAAAATTGATCCGTTTGGTGGTGATCCTTTCAAAGGTTCAGATCCATTTGCATCTGACTGCTTCTTCAAGCAGTCTTCCACTGATCCTTTTGCCACTTCAAGCACTGACCCTTTCAGTGCAGCCAACAATAGCAGTAATACATCGGTAGAAACAGTGAAGCACAATGATCCTTTTGCTCCTGGTGGAACAGTTGTTGTTGCAGGAAGTGATTCAGCCACAGACCCTTTTGCTTCTGTTTTTGGAAGTGAATCCTTTGGAGATGGATTTGCTGACTTCAGCACATTGTTACAGGTCAACAATGAAGATCCTTTTAGTTCAGCCACATTGAGCTCTGTCAGCAATGTGGTTATTACAAAAAATGTGTTTGAGAAAACATCAGTCAAAAGTGAAGATGTACCCCCAGCACTGCCACCAAAGATCGGAACTCCAACAAGACCCTGCCCACCACCACCTGGGAAAAGACCCAGCAACAAATCGGATTCTTCTGATCCATTTAAACTGAATGATCCATTTCAGCCTTTCCCAGGCAGCGATAGCCCCAAAGAAAAAGATCCTGATATGTTTTGTGATCCATTCACTTCTTCTACTACTACCACTACCAATAAAGAGGCTGACCCAAGCAATTTTGCTAACTTCAGTGCTTATCCCTCTGAAGAAGATATGATTGAATGGGCCAAGAGGGAAAGTGAGAAAGAGGAAGAGCAGAGGCTTGCCCGACTGAATCAGCAAGAGCAAGAAGACTTAGAACTGGCCATTGCACTCAGCAAATCTGAGATATCAGAAGCATGAAGAATTCTTTTGTCCTTTGTCAATAATACAGTACTCTTCTGCCTGAATGCTGAAGCTATTTACAGTGTGTATCAAAACTACCTATGAGCATGGGAATACAAAATGTTTGAGATTCCTTTAAATGTGACAAAATTTTAGGTTTTTGTTGTTTTTTGTTTTCTTTTTTTTACTCCATTTCAGGTTTGTCACTTTTTTTTCTTGTAAAAGCAGTAACCCAGTGAGATAACTTCACTGGGGCCCCTGCCTATGCCTGCCTAAGCTACTTTTACTTGTAAAGCTAGAGCACCCAAGCTTCTGCCTTCTGGAGTATAGAGAAATAGTTTCACCCTGTGCTACCCTTGTTCTGTAGTTATTCTGATGATAGCCAGTGGGGTTCTTAAAGTTTGCAGTCTTCTCCCCTGATTTGAAT